GAGAAAAAAACACGTAAGAAAAAATAAAGAGGAGTTATCCTTCTGAGGGTGAACAGAGACAGGAAAAAATGGTGGTGAGTGATAATAACAACTGCTAATGCTAATGCTAGATAACTCAGTGCTGCTACTCTAACCTGAAATGTGGGGGAGGAAACTTGAATAATGTAACTTCTGCTGGCTTAGCTAATTAGCTAGCAGAGCCTCATCATGACACCAGCAGCAGACTTGTTAGAGTAAACTGAGGGCAGGCCCTGTGAACATTTATCTAGCGTCCACACAAACTGTAGCATTGCCATTGACCATAGAGCGTATAAAGCATGCTTGTTGCTAGCGGTCTGGACAAACAAAGCCAATACTGAAGTGTGTTTAACCTGCACTTTAACAGAAGGCGGTCAGATTGCGGTAGCTGTGGAGACACACCTCAAGACTTCAGAAACCAACAAATGACGTCCAACCTTTATATTGTTCCTGGTTGTGGCTTTATGATAAAAATAAACAGTATAAAAGGTGGGTGTAGCCATTGTCACCTATTAGCTTTATTTAGCCCTTTTTTAAAAGTATGAGAATGAGTTCTTCAGCTGTCACCATGCCTTTTTCGAACCACGACTTGCCATATTTGGCAAAAAGGGTTGCATGCTGTTCTCCCAGCTAACATTAGAAAGCTTGCTTAGCAAGCTGCTGCTACAAACTGTATGTCTGAAATGCACAGACTCAGTTAATCAATACTCAGTCCTTATACTGATAAATAACTGACTAATAAAACACTAGAATAAAACTGAAGTGCAAACTTTTTGCATTTTCTGTACCACACAGGGAGGGAGCCGTAATATTTGTCAGATTACTCAGCTGAAAAGCTCCAAAAAAACCACCAAAAGCACAAATCAGTTCATGCCCTGAGCTGATGGTTGGAGTAAACTAAGTCTGCACTTCGTTAATGCTCTGAAACCCCTCCAATATACCTGAATTAAAACAATTCTGCACAGAAGAGTGGGACAACAGTCCTCCACAGTCATGTGAAAGACTGGGTGCCAATGATCACAAATGTTTTATGGTTTTATTCTTTTAAATTAAATCATGATTTAAAAACTGCATTTTGGATTTCTTCGTCTTTATCTTTGTCTAATATAAAAATGTATTTAATGATCTGAAACATGTAAGTGTGACAAATATGCAAAAAAAAGAAACCTCAAGATGAGGAAAAATAGTTTTCCACAGCACTGTGTGTGGCATGTTCTCTCATAAAGAATAAATTATGTTTGTTTATATGAGTAAATAAGAGCATGGGTAATTAAACCAGCCTTAGAGCTCATTTATGGAACTAACAGCTAGATTTCTGTAACTAATGGGCTTCATATTTCTCTACTTTGTCGTTTCAATGTATATATAAAAAGAAAAGAAGTGATTTTTGGGGCCCTGCAGATGTGAACGCTGCGCTCTGATAACTCTCAGGACGAGCTGTGACAGTGCATATGTTCATTCATGACTGCATCTCTGCATCTCGGTCGCATCAGACTGTTTTACCTTGACAGCTAGAAGTGCGAGAGCAGCGACTGATCGAGGCGGCGAGGATTCCTGCCAAGAAAAAAAAAGAGGCGAGGGGAGCCGAAAACGAAGAGGAGGCTGATGAAATGAAATGATGAATCAGATGAGGTTTAAATCAGAATATTTTTATGCTGCTGCTCGGCAGGAATTCCTTACTTCAACTTCCCAGAGTGCATTGCTGTGTGGCCTTTTCAATAATGTAAAGGGGGGACAGACAAGAGATAAAATGAGAGAGGAAACGATTTCCCGGCACTGTGGGAGCCCCCTCTGTGACATTTACCTCTAGTGGCACCCTCAATGTGTGTGTGTGTGTGTGATGGCCCCGTGCCACACTAATGATGCCCCCCTCTGCCACGCACAGTCGAAGCACAAAACTCTCCCGCCAGCGATGCCACACGTGTCCTTTAGAGTCACACTGGAAGGAAAAAAGGAAGGAAGAAGGAGGTAATAGCCGAGATGGAGCGTGAAGGGGTTGAAAAGGAATTGTGCGAACAATATTTCCATCCGCAGATGGAGCTGAGGAGGAGCACAATAGAAGGGCGGCAAATAAAAGGAAGAGAAAAGGTTAGTGGCGAGAGGAGGCCGCTTTTGTCAGCGAATGGCAGAGAAGGAGCAAAGGGGGGATGGCCTCGTGCGATCTATCAGCTCCACCTGTTACTATTTCATACTTCATTAAGCGTCTCTCCTATTTGAAGCGGCGGGTGGTGTTCTCTGTCTTCGCGGGGTGTCCCCTACCCCCCACCTGGACACATGGCATCTCATTACCTCTCTGCTCCAGCTCAGGGCCTGCAGAATGTCACACAGCTGGAGTACAAGCTCTGAAGATAGATGAAACAGAAAAAGAGAAAATACCCGCTGAATGTCTTTAAAAAGATGGAGCCTACTGAGAATGATGTGTTTGCCTGGCATTATTATCCTGTTGCAAGGTCTACCTTTGGTTCAGCGGAAGCACTCGGACAGATGGCGTCACGTATGCTCCGAGCGCTCTTTGATGTGCAGAATTTATAGAAGAATTGTTGACCGCAAGCTGAACGATTTCTGAGGCAAACATTCCCACCTCACGATCGGTGTCTGATTCTTGTGCTGAAAGGCTGTCTTTGATTAGTTAGTCCCATTGATCCAATAACCAGATTGCCTCTGCTACATCAAATATAGGCGTTTCTTTCTGATTGTAGATGCATGCACTTTGCCACCAAATCTAAGAGTTATCTGCAGATCTTCTGTTGGGGTTTTTAGACACTTTGTTTTTCTCACTCTGAATTTCCTGTGGTGGTCAGTGCTGTTTGAAATTTGCACTGCTTTTAGACGGTGAGTCTCAGAGTGACATTATTTGGTTCAACTGTCAGACTCGTCCACAACCACAACCATTGGCAAAATGTAGTGACGGTGTAGGCGTAGGGCGGCTGCAGCTTCGATGGTAAAGCGGGTCATCTACCAGATGGAAAGTCCCCGGATCCTCCTGTCCATGTGTCAAAGCATCTTTGGCCAAGATACTGAACACTGTGTTGCCTCAGATGCATCCATCGGAGACTGAGTGTATGAATGTTAGAAGTGCTTAGGTATAGATAAGATCAATGTGTGTGTGACTGGGTGAATAAGACCTGCATTTTGTATTAGTAGAAAATAGTAGTGAAAATAGAGTAGAAAGGTGCTATATACACCTAATATAAACAGTCCTGAGCCATCAAGGAATGGACTCCACTCGACCTGTGACTGTGCTGTGGTATCTGCACCGAGATGTTAGCAACAGATCCTTTAAATCCTCTAAGCTGCGAGGTGGAGCCTCCTTTGATCAGATTTCTTTGTCCAGAACGACCAAAATAGACAGTCCTTTAAACAAGATGTTAGTTAACCTAATGTTTGCTTATGAAAAGTTCCTTAAAAATGATTTTAAAACTAGAACTCAGTAAAAGCATAGATCCCTGGGTGGCTCGGTTGGATACAATCACCTAAAACATGAAAGATATGTGCTTTGAGACTGTGAGAGAATCTCTGGGAGGTTTGCATCAGGAAGGGCATCCAGCTTAAAAAGGATCTGTGAAAATCAAATACATTGATCTACCTCCACAACGACTAAAAGTTATAAAGTTAGCATCTTCTCCAGCTAATCATTCAGTGTGTACTTCAGGATAAAGCTGGTTACTCCTGGTTTTAGTAGCACGATCTGCAGATTTAGCCCAGTCTGTTTTTACCTTTGAAGCTGCCTGCAGCCACACTGTCTGCAGTAACTGCGGTGCAAACTTCATGCAGTCGCTGAAGAATGTGCTGGGTATTGTAGTGTTAGCTTAAATCCTTAGCATCCAGGACAAAAAAGGCTTTAAGTGCAGAGGCAGACTTTACCTGTGCACCTGGGCACACCGCATACGATGTACTTACTCCCAAACCCCCTTTTTGCGTGGCAGGAATTTAAAAGCCTAACAGGCTAGCTGCGGCTTGCTTACAAACAGCTGCCATTCAAGCGGTGAGATTTAAGGAGCAGGTACTTCCACGTGAATGTGAAACTCCACTGAATTGCAAAGTAGAAAAGCTGCTGAATGGATGGATGAAATTCCTTAATTTAAGAAAGTACACACAATGAAAGGATTTGTTTTAATATCACAAATTCAATGGACACAAATTCACAATGCTGTCCTGAATTCATCCAACTAATACTGCAAACAGAAATATATTTTAGTATCCTCATAACAAAGAAAACAACTTTTACGACTCAGTCATTATCTGACTCGGTCACGTCTCGAAGATGACTCGGTGTCAGGAGCAGATGAAAGGAGGTCACAGCTCTGTGTTGTTGTTTGTTTACGCAGAGGGGAGAGGCGGCTGAGTGGTCCGCTAAATCACCTCCCTGCCAGCGGTGGTGACAAACTACCAAATGAAGTGAGAAAGTGAAGGCTCTGTCACAGATTAGGGCTGCCAAGAGTTTAAAAAGAAGACTGAGAAAACCTGGAGACGGACAGAAATCCAGCGACGAGTCTAGCTGATAAGAAAAATAATCCGGACGCCACAGATGTGCTCTGTGCTCATCTGCATTCAAACTTTGCAGCTTTCACTGCGTTATAAACTGCATTGTGAGGTAAGACTGTGAGTCATAAATCGTTATAACAACATACATATAAATGCTCCAAACCTTAGAGGTCTGAACCCTGCAAGGAGTCACAACAGTAATATCACAGCTGGGTTAAAACATTTGCTCATCTGTACTGCGGTTCATTTTTTAAAATCTCCCCAGTTTTTCACAGTTTTCAGAGCTAAATGATACTATAATACCATAATAATGGTCTGAAATTAGACTTTACATCTAAGACAACTACCAAAACAAAAACAAAAGGTGGGGTTGCAAGCCCAGAGAAGAGCGCTGACTCTCCTTGTGCGATGCTGACCTCATGTGGATCAAACAGAGCACTGCGACCCAGTGGCTTGGCTCATATTAAAAGCAGCACTTAAAAGGCAGTGTGAGCGCTCCTTTCTGGGCCTCCTTAATTCGGTGACTCCTGCCTGGTAGCTGCAGCCTGCCTCAGCAGCAGTTCTCTGGCCAGATCCGGCCTGCCGATCTTGGCCAAGTAGCGAGCGAGCAGAGAGGCCTTGGGTTGGTTCGGGACGGCGGGCAGCCCTCTCCTCCACATGGCCAGGATGGTGAAGGCACGGGAAGAGAGGCCGCCGCTCCCGGCTCGGGTTGTCACCAGCTGAGCGGTGCTGCGGCAGAGTCGCAGGGAGAGCGCCAGCAGGGCCGTTTCCTCCTCTGAGAGCTCCTCGGACAGCCAGAGAAGAAGAGAGTCTGAGAGGGAACCTGGTTGGATGGGCAGGTGATGGATAAATGATGCACGTTTTTAGTATGTGGAGCTGGGACAGCATTAAAGAGTGTGGCAAAGAGACAATGAAT